GGTGTGGGGGGGTTGTGTGTGTGGGGGTGTGTGGGGGTGTGGGGGGGTTGGTGGGGTGTGGGGTGTGTGAGGGGTGTGGGGGGGGTGGGTGGTGGGGGGGTGTGTGGGGTGTGGGGGGGGGTTGGTGAGGGTGTGTGGGGGGTGTGGGGGGTTGGTGGGGTGTGTGAGGGGTGTGGTGAGGGGTGTGGGGGGGGGTTGGTGGGGTGGTGGGGTGTGTGAGGGGTGTGTGGGGGGGTTGTGGGGGGGGGAGGGGGGGTTTGGTGAGAGCTGCCGTTGTCTCTTTTCAAATCAGAGCAACGAGGAGGCACGAGGCTGTGGCGGTTACACTGGACCCTAACCCCCGTGTGTAACAACATCCTCTGTCATGTAATATCTCCCCCCCTCCCCCCCCCCCCCCCCCGTGTATAATATTATTATTTATATTATCTTCTCTGTGTGTAATTTAACATTCCCCCCACCCTGTGTGTAACACCCCCCCTGCCGCTCCCTGTGTGTAATAACACCACACCCTCCCATCCCTTGGTGTGTGTGTGTGTGTGTTATAGTTATACCCTCCCGTGTCTGGAATAGTAGCACTGGTCCATTTTATATCCCCTGTCGGTGTGATAACATCACCTCCTCCCACCACCTTCGTGTTTGTAGTATTCCCCCTATACGTGTGTATAATAATAATCTCCCAGGAATGTAATAATGTCCCCACTGCCCCTGTGTATGTAATAACATCTCCACTGCCCCAATGTAATCACGACATTGTTTATTATTAACGTGTTTGTTTAATTGTAGTTACAGTACTATGTTTCTCATAAAGGATGAAGCTAAGTTTTGCTTTTTTAATTTTGCTGTTTCTGCTTTGCTCCAGTCTGGAAGTTTATTGGCACGTGCACTTGAAGTAGGTTTTATTTTGTCTCCACTTTGTTCACCAAATCACAGAAGCGTTGAGAGGAATAGCCCTGAGTATTATTTTTGAACTGAAACAAAGATAAATTCTATCAAAAGATAGATAAATCCTATAAAAAAGAGAAATCGTACAAGAAGAGAAATGGATCTTGTGAGTGAACTTGAATATTGCTGGTATTTGAACTGAATATTGTCTTCATTTAGCTGTTTAGAACTGGCGCTGGTGTTACTGGATTGATGACAAGACAGTTTTCACTTCCATCTGCTCCAGAATGACCACTGGTTATCAAAAATGTTGTTTATCTTTGTGTGTGGAGATAATTGGAATAAACACCCTGAAGTTTGCTGCATTTCCAGTCAAATATGTGTGTGCTGGATTTTGAAAAGGACACCTTATTAGGACCTGACGAATATTGAAACAACTGTTTATTGTGTCCCTACCAACCTGCCCGCCCCCTCCGTTCAGCGAGCTCTGGTCTGCTCCATGTCTCCCGCCCTACCATCGGTGGCCGGGCTTTCAGCCTCTCTGCCCCCACACTCTGGAACTCCATCCCACGGTCCCTTCGCTTCACTTCCTCCCTCGCCTCCTTCAAGGTCAGTCTCAAGACCCTTCTCTTCAATCGTGCCTGTGTTCACCCTCCCACCTCTCTGCCTTCCCTCACCCCTACCCCACCCCTCCCCCATGCTCGGGCCCCGACACCTGACTTCAGCGCTTTAGTACGTCCTCCTGATGTGAAAGGCGCTCTATAAATGTAATTTTGTTCTTGTTGTTTGAATATAACTATGACTGGGTGAATTTGAAGGACTTAATTTTAAATTCGTATTTTGAATTCTGCACATGGAGTATGATTGGAAAAGGATGACTTATTAGGACTTTTGTAAACGAATCCATGGGTTAACAAGTTTCGGAAGAGAAATTGTGCAGTTGGATTGGAAATATTTGTCAGTAAATTTTAAGGCTCAACAAGAGAAGATCTTTGACTTTTTAATTCCTTCCCCTGGGGATTGTGCTGCAACCACTAAAGAAGCACTGTTTGCAAATGCAGTTATATTGGAAATACCATGGACTCCAATTTAACAAGACAATGCCTTACACGGATGGGACAATTTTAGTTCATGCTGTGTTCTCCATAAAGGAAAATAACGTGCAATCAATTGAGCAGGATGCATCTTTTAGAGCTGGGATGCAACGACAATGATGAGAAGATTCGAATGAAACATTTTGCTGATGATGTATTCAATGAATCCAAAATGTTCAGTATATATTTTGAATAGAGCTGCTTTTTGTTGCACGGTGTTTATGTTGAATATCACAAAATCAAGAGCTTTCTTATCTGTAAAGTAGATTTCAAATAGGTTGAAGAGTGTAGAGTGTTGAAATCTAGTTTAAAATTTGCATTTGCAAAGTATAGGGATTTGAAATTTGGATGAGTGCAAACTTTTTCATCATTCAGATTAGAATCTTGTTTAGTTTTATTCTATTATTACTGGTATTGACCTTGTCCAATTATTTTTTTGCAGTCTGTAAAGTTGGTTTTAACACGCTTATCAGGTGTTCACTGCTTCTTAAAGAAAATGCCCTATTGACAGGTAAGTGATTCTATGCAGGTGTTAGACAAGTAAAAATCCCCTTTAACGTATCAAGCGTCAATTTTGTCATGTACACACAATTATTCCTTTATTGGCATTATTATTCAGTTTGAGTAACCGGTGATCGATACCTATTAGAAACAAAAAATAATTGCAGCAATCGAGACACTCACAGTTTTTTTTATTTTGCTGTGCAAGGATAGGAACTCATCGTTCAAACTGCAGAGAACTTGGATTTCCTGTGTTGCACCCACTCTTTCCCCTCCATGGGATTTTGCTTAATAACGGAGCAAAAACTCTTTCAGAATACATTTGGATAATTCCTGGTGTATATAAGATATCATATACATCAGGTATCTTATATCAACTCAGCAGTTTTCTCTAGAATATGTTGCAGCCTTGTGAGCAGGTATAGAATTTAATTTACAGACTTGCAGTTATTTCGTTTCTAATTCCTTCAGCGTTGAATATCAAAACATTTATGCAGTTTTACATTGGCAAATCTGATTGACCTAACAATCTTTCATCTATTAAATACTATTTAGTATGATCAGATGTTGTACCGAAAATTACTCTGTAAGGTAGCTCATTTGACCCATGAAGCCAATGCTTGTGAATAGCACATACTTATTTACTGTACATCCTGGATTAATTTTCTTCCCAGTGAGAGCAGCAAAATTGGACAAAATGATAGAGGCATACAAATTAAGAATGGTAAAATATGTGCAGATTGTTTCATTTTTGGTCATGTTTATTCAAACTCCCTGTAGATTAGGAATTTGGTAATTTGCTAATCAGTTATGGGCAGCCTGCAATGAGCCTTCTCGTTGGGATTTCTTTTATAAACTAATAGTTCGGGATATAAAAATGAAACGGCCATTTGGCCCATTGTAATTCATCCCTTTATTATATTAACTTGTCTTTCATGGCACCTAATTTTTTTGAATAACGCCAATATTGCTGTTTCTAACCTTCCTTGGTAAATTACACCAAGGTAATTGTACGTATTTAGCCTATGTAAGAGAACGTATATGAATCTCAGTCAAATATTGAAATAAGTTTTGTTTTTCACACTGTTTTAGTAAAATTCAGATCTTGGCCCAGCCACCACCTGAGTTTGTATGATTATTAATTTAGCAACAATGTTAATTATCCATGGCTGCATAAACTATTTTGAATTAGAAGTATTTGCAAACGCACAGAAGCTTTCAAAATTTAGCTTTTTTTTCACTTATTGAATATAATTTAAGGTGATAGCCCAAAATCAATAGAAATGATAAACAGAAGTAAGAATATGGAATTATTCTATTAATTTATTTAAAGATGTTGTCACCGATTGAATGTTTAGAATATATAGAAATGAGATACAGAAATGCACTATTCTCTGTCGCATAGGAAAATCGGAATGCATAGTACTGGAAAAGACCATTGAGATTCAAATGACCCAAAGTAGAAAAAATAAAGAAATTGGTGTTGATACAAAATCCAATGAGCATTTTATAGATTACTTGTAATTATCATCTGCCTGGAAAGATAAACATTTATTTTTCATCTTAATACATTCTACAGAAGATTGTTGAGAATTGTACATAAGTGGAATTTTCAGATGTAAATGCGGAAGAGAACTTGGAATGGATAAGATACTAGTTTGAGATTGTTTCTGTAAAGATGGAGTAGCATTTTGGCCAGTATGAGAGTGATGTTGATCAGTAAGATCAAGTCTTGGGTAAACCTTAACTTTCTACAACTCAGTTTTAAATAATCTGAAGCTGCTCTTCTTGCGTACTCACCTCAGTAGCTGACAATATAGATTTCCCCAGGCACTCGCTCCAAATCAAGGTGTCTGTGAGGAATCTCGTTGTTTTATTCAGCTCCTTAAACCTTTCACGTGAGCCTGACCAAGTCCACCTTCTTCCATCTCTGCAACTCCATTACTACCTCACCCCCAACATAGCCAACCGCTTTGTCACATCCAGACTTGACTTCTCCAATACTTTTCCTGCTCTCCTTCCCAAGCTCCATTGTCCACAAGCTCTGTGCCTTGCAGAAATCTGAAGCCAGCATCCTGTCCTGCAAACACATCCTTGCCTGACTCCAACAGCTCCCCATTCTCCAGCGGATCAACTTTAAGATCCTCATCCTTATCTTGAAATGTTTTCACAGAATTGCCCCACCATATCTCTGTGATCTCCTGAGAATATACTCTTGGCTTTCCCAACTTCTCTGCCAACTCTGACCTGGTTTGTTGGCGGGTGAACTTTCAGCCACTTTGCTTCAGTCCTGTAGAACTCTCTTCCAACATTCTGCTGCCTCGACTCCTCTCGCTCGGATTTCAAAACCTCTCTAACAATCTATCTTTCTTTGACTCGTCATTCAGCCCCCGCCCCCCCCCCCCCAATCTCAGGCACTCGCTCTATCTTTGTAAAGGTTTTTGAGATGTTTTACCTATGTGAAGGGCAATATGTCAGTGCAAAATGTTGTTGGATGGGCTGTAATGCAAAGCAAGGAAACTTAATCAAATACATTCTCCATGAGAACTTTTTAGTTAATTGATAAAGGAAGATCCTAGTTTGTTTATTACTCATTTCAGTAGGATGACTGAATAGTTCTTTGAAGAAGGAAGAAAAATGTTGGTAGTGAATGCATTTGGCTTGACAATTATTTTGATATACATATTAGTGTGAAAATGCAACATTATTCCCATGTTTGCAATTTGATTGCATTCCATAAGGATGAATTGCATACCATTGAGATATTGGTGCAGAATTAGAAAAAACATTCTTGAATCAATTTTGTTTAAATTTTTAAATAGGTGGGAAATTGTATCATTCTCTGTGGAATATTCATGTTGATATCAGCAGAATGGTCAAAGCATTAAACACTGTTTGGAGGTGTTCAATGAGTTTGAGGTTGATGGTTATATTTTTGAAGTTTTAAGTGATGACTATATTTTTAAAAGTCTGTATAAAAAAATAAGAATCGGCTTTATTAAAATGAGCATTTTTTGACCTGTTGATATTGCATTTGGAAGTTAAATGAAGTATCCAGCACTTTGAAATAATTTGACGTCATCCTGTGTGCCTTTCTTGCCTGCAGGTGACTTTTGCTATTGATAGAGCTCAGCATGGCTGTGGTCATCCGCTTGCAGGGGCTCCCAGTTTCTGCAGGGACCTTGGATATTCGTCACTTCTTCTCTAGATTAACCGTTCCTGATGGAGGGGTACACATTATTGGTGGTGAAGTTGGAGAGGCATTCATTGTATTTGCCACAGATGAAGATGCACGACTTGCTTTGATGAGGTCTGGGGAAACTCTTAAAGGGAACAGAACAAAACTAACATTAAGTAGCAGGAGTGAAATGCAGAATACAATTGAAATGAGTCGTAAGCGATACACACATTCTAGTGAAGAAATGCGCAGTGCTAGAAGGTCAGGATCCAGCAGTTCTGGTACAGATCGGTTAAGTAGCATGCCTCCTGCCTTAGCTGCAAATTTAGTTGCAGCAATGCAACATGGAATGAATAGGGTGGGGTTTAATTCCAGTAATGTTGGAGGTTCCTGCATAAACTACAGTTCTCGAATGGATCCTATGATGAGTGGTAATATGTCTGCAATGTCCTCTTTATCTTCCTCACATAATGTTCCAGTTTCCTCCATGACCACATACTCTGAAATGTCTTCTAGATCAATGAATAATAGCTTGAATAAATTTAATGGCTCTGGGTCAATGGGTCCCTCTACCAATTCCATTCATGGTCAGACAGGTGAACAAGGACCCGATGACATTTATTTGCGTTTATATGGCATGCCATATTCAGCAAAAGAATTGCAAATAAGAGAATTTTTCCACAATCTGCAAGTTGAAGGAATTCGGCAAATGAAGGACTATCGAGGTCGGAAAACTGGAGAAGCTTATGTCCGATTTGCAACTTCTTGGGATGCATCTGAAGGACTAAAATGTCACAGAAAATACATGGGGCAGAGATTTGTGGAAGTTTATCCAGCTACAGAAGAGCAATGGAATTGTGCACGAGTTAGCCTGGATGTGGAGGATAGAAATTCAGATGTGATTCGAGGAAATCGAGGCTATTCCCCTCATGAACTAAAGTATTCTCATACTCTATCAAGATCACCTCGGAGATGCAGATCACGAACTCGTTCCCCTCATGATGCAGAATATTGCGTACAGCTGAAAAATATTCCTTATGGTGCTGAAAAGAAAGATGTGCGTCATTTCTTTCATGAGCTGGATATATCAGAAGACCAAATTTATCTTGTACATGATTCCTATGGTAAAAGTACAAAAGAAGGTTTTGTTGTGTTTAAAAACTCCTCTGACTACCGTAGAGCTCTAAAATATCACAAAGAATGCATTGGGAACCGTGCGATTTATGTTTACCCCATTGCCAGAAGAGCTATGGTAGATTTGATAGATACTGTTAAGAGGCAAAAATCAAGAGAAAGACCAGTTTGTAAATTGGAAGATAAAAGGTACGAGCCAAAACAAGAGCCTCATTGCTTTTCAAGATTATATATATACCTTCGCAACCTTCCATTTGATATCTCGAAGTCTGAGATCTGTAAATTCTTTGAGGGATTTTTTGTAGCTGATGATTGGATCTCCATAATTGTTGACAGTAAAGGTATTGGACTAGGGGAAGCTTTGGTCAAGTTCAAGTATGAGGATGATGCACTAAGGGCTGCGCGTTTGCAGGGCAAAAAAATTGCTGGAAGAGAAGCTTTCCTAAAGCTTATTACTTCAGAACAAGTACTTGACCTTGGTGTCGGTTGTGCACCTGAAAGATCAAAAGGTCAAAAAGATTATTATTTTGGTTGTGGTGGTAGTGATGGTGATCATTCATTGCCTTTTGATGTCCATGAATTAGCTGAATCTCCCTTTGAAATTTATGGTGGTTTGGGTTCAGGAACATCCATGCAAAGATCAAGGTGTGGCCAAGAAGAAGGATATTATAGAGAGTTTGAGACTGGAAACAGCAACTTTGGAGGCTCCACTGGATGCCGGTATGGATCTGGATTTGATTCAGGGTACCAAGGTAATATGGGAATGTCCAGTGGGATAGCTGCTGTTAAGGCTTTCAACCTGCCTTTCAAAATCTCAGTCAATGAAATTTTGGATTTCTTCTATGGTTATCGTGTTATTCCAGATGCAGTCACTATACGGTTCAATGACAATGGATTGCCAGCAGGTGATGCTGTAATTGCATTTGAAACTGTTGATGAAGCAATGGCTGCTGTTCAAGACCTGAATGAGAAACCAATTGGAAAAAGGAAAGTCAAACTGAGCATGCTATAAGTTCAGTGGAACATGTGTTTGTTATTAACAAATGCATTTTAGGTTGGGTGAACTGGAAGGCAATTTCTATATGGCACTGATTTTCCTAAACTGCATAAATAATAGTGAGTTGTTGACATTTGCAAAATTTTAGGCAAATGTGATTCCTGTTGAGACTGTTTTTTAAATTTTTGCCAGAAAATTGTTGGGTTAACAAGTTCACTGCTTATGGAAGTGTATTGTGCTTTGTCTTGAGGATTACCTGATACGGTTTACAAGATCATTATCCAATCTCTTTGGTTGCCTAAATATACCCATTTTATTACAAAGGTATACTAATTAAATCAAAACCTTGTCTGGATCTAGATGGCTTTGAGGAGTTAAACTTGCGGATGTTTCAAATCCTGATGTAGTGTTTATTTTTCCACTGGAAAGAGAAAACCTAGTGGATTTGTTAAACTCCTGACAGGATATCCTGTATACATACAGTATAAATTTTTTTCCACACAGTTATAAATTGTTATTCACCTACCCAAGTCTGTTCAAAGGAGATGCAAATCCTGAGGTAGTAGTAGTATGTTGACCAAATTTACTCTAAACTCGATTATGCCAACGCCCTGCATGTCAGCCTTCCCAACTCTTCCCTCCATAAGCTGAGATCATCCAGAACTCTGAAACTCGTGTCCTCTCCTGCACCAAGCTCTGTGACTCCATCACACCCACCCTCGCCCGGCTTCACTGGCTCCCCATCTTTCAGAGGATCGAGTTCAAAATTCTCGTCCTCACCTTCAAGGCCCTCCGTGGACTTGCTTCTCCGACTTGCTAACCCCTTATCAACCTGTCCGCTCCCCCTGCTCAGCAGGCTCTGGCCTGCTCCATGTCCCCCTGCTGGCCCGCCCCATCACCATCATTGGTGGGGCCTTCAGCCTCTCTGCCCGACCCTCTGGAACTACATCCCACATTCCATTTGCCTCACTCCCTCCCTTGCCTCCTTCAAGGCACGCCTCTTCGACCATGCCTTTGGCCACCTGCCTACCCTCTGTGCCCTCCACCCTCCCTGATCCCAACCCCCACGCTCGGGTCCTAATCCCTGACTGTTCAGCGCCTTGGGATGTCCTCCTGACATGAAAGGTGCTTTACAAATGTAATTTTGTATTGTAAACTTGGTGGTGTGTGAAAAATGATCTTTATTTCATTGGAGCCAATTTTTTATTTTCAGTCAATGCATTGCCAGAAAAAACAAAGGTGTTAGACTCGATACAATTCAATATTATTTTGTAAAACATACATTATCCTTGTTGTATTTAAAATAACTACTTGTGCTGAGATCTTTCTTTATGTGTTTTGCGAAACATGATTTGCGAAGTCAAAGTGTACTGAAGATCCATATTTTGATTCTCATCCTGTGAAGTCTTTATTAAAAGATGTTCTGTTTTACTCTGCCCTATTTTTGTTTTTCAGTTCTAGTGCTCAATAAATGGACCAAAGTAAGATACTGTTTTATGTAAAGTTACAGTGCCATTAATTACCCCAACTGATGTGGGATAGTATTGATGATTTTACCATACAAGCAAATCTTCTATGGCCTTGGAAATAATTTGTTCAATTGTCTTGTGCGCCAGGACAAAAATTTAAAGGCCTCTGTTTGCCTCAGGTTTAATTCACAAACACGCCTCCATTTTCTTCGTTTCCAATGTTAGATTCTGAAATAATCCAAGCATTTAAACAATCTTTAAAACAAATGCTTTCAAGCCTCCTGATTAGTAATTTTGTGAGCATTAACAACTAGAATGTCAGGAGACATTTAAGTAAATGCGCAGCAAAGCATTTACTTAGGTGTAACTCGGTAAATAAAAATCCCAGCTACATACATTATCATCAACTTTCTAGTGATATTGATATGTGATACTATGAGGTTTAATTATGCTCTCAGTGTAGATTGTATCCTCGAGAAGGTGTCAACCTTTTTATTAGTTGTCCTATGAATACATTACTTACCCAGAAACTAAGAATCAGAGGATTTGTGATGTACTATAAATCACTTTTTAAAAATTCATGACCATCTACGAATCTACATAAGGTAAGTTGATATTTTCAGAGTTCTTTCCTAGTATAGAAAATCGGTTACAAATTATACAGCATGAATGTTTGGTGGTTTGTTTATTGTAATAAGAGACAGTATAACCCTTGACATTCTATCTTTTCTTAAAACAAGGTGAGTAATGGCAGGAAGAACACTCTTAACATCAAAAACACCTGTGTTGACATGCATTTTTTGTTTTTGACGACCTTGCAATTTGAGAGGAATTATTTTAAAGGAGCAGGGAACTCACAGTTTGCAAATGTATCTCGACCTATCAAGTCTTACTTGTTCAGCATTAAAAAAATTTTGGGGGTTTAAATTGTGATTTTTATCTTGATGTATCTCACTTTGAAAAATAAATAGTGCAGTGGGTTTATCATCTGTCTTACTGTTTTACAATCATGGATTTAAATCTTAATGTTTCCTGTTTTATACAGAATTTCACTTGTATAGTAGATAAGCTAAATCTAATTTGTGATTTTGAAGACTGCTCTCCCAACCCCTCAATCGCCTAGGAATACAAATGGCAATTGGTGTCTGTAGTACAGTTTTAGATTTAATTTCTCCATCTGGTTAATTACTTACTTCCCAAGTATCTAATATCTCCTAGTCATTTCTTTATTCTAGTCTTCTAGGATAGTACATTCCATATTCTCAAAACATTTTATTATTTAAACTTTGACTGCGTAATAACTGAATACTGTAAGCCAAATGAGATCTAACAAGGCTTCTCTATATAACTACAACATCACTTTGTTGCCTTTGTATTCCAGACCCTTGGATTAAAAGACCGTTTCCTATAATAATAATAATCCTATTAGATGTTTTGATTGATTTCTAGCTAAAAGAATTATGTACTTGGATCCCTAGATGGCTCTGTTCATCTCTCCTTGCAGCCCCTGCAGTCTGGTTTTCGCTCAGCCCACAGCACAGAGACAGCACTTGCCAAAGTCACAAACGATGTCCTCTCTATCTGTGACCAGGGCTCCCTCTGCCTTCTTGTCTCAGATCTCTATGCCGTGTTCGACACAGTCGACCACGCTATCCTCCTCCACCGCCTCCTCCCTCATCCACCTTAGTGGGACCACATACGCATGGTTTGAGTTCTGCTTCACCAATTGTCTCCATTTCATCTTGGCAAATGGTTTTCCCTCCCGCCCTGTCACCTGCGGGGTACCCCAGGGCTCCATCCTTGGCCCTCTAATTTTCCTTATCTATATGCTCACTCGGGGCGATGTCATCTGCAGACACAGGGTAAACTTCCACATGTATGCGGATGACACACAAATCTACTTTGTATCCTCCAGTACCAACTTGAGGTCTGCCAATTGTCTATCAGCTTGTCTGGCAGACATTAGGGTCTAGATGAGTGCAAACTTCCTGCAGCTGAATGTGGACAAGACGGAAGTCATACTCCTTGGCTCACGTCAACTTCTTTACTCCTGAATACCTCAAACTCCCTGGGCTCTCCCTCAGACTCACCAAACCAGTATGCAATTTAGGCATCCGTTTCGATCCCCAGCTGCTCTTCCAAACCCATATCCGGTCTAGGACCGAATTCTTCCACCTCCGCCACATTGCCCGCCTCTGACCGTACCTTACCCCAAATGCAGCTGAAACCCTTGTGCATGCGTTTGTCACTTTCTGCCTGGATTACTAAAATGCACTCCTCGCCGGTCTCCCCAGCTCCACTATTCAAAAGTTCCGGCTCATTCAGAACTCTGCCTCCCACATACTGACCCGGACCAAACTCCGTACCCACATCTCACCAGTTCTGGTCAGGCTCCACTGGCTCCCCATCACCGAGCAGATCGACTTCAAGATCCTCACACTCATGTTCAAATCCATTCACTCTCGGTACCTCCCTACCCCTCCTACCTCCTCATTTCCCACTCCACCACCCGATGACTCCGCCTTGCCCTGTCTCCCCTTTTCAAGTCCTGCCTGAAAACCTTTTTGACTGCACTTATGGACACCTTTCGCCCCCACTCTGCTCGGAGTCAAGCTCCACAATTGTTAAAGCGCTCTGAGACGCTACCCTGCGTGGAGGGCGCTATATAAGTGCAAGTTGTTGTATCCCTCCCCAGGGGTTCCACAATGGAGCACATTCCCATCTGCAAATCTACCTTCCAAAGTGTCCTAACTCCCATTTTGCTATGTTGAACTCCAGCTGTTATATTTTTTCACATGTTTATATCGATTTGAAATTTTCTGTGTTTTTTAACCCAATAAAATTGTAATCTATTGTAAATTACCAAAGAGTCTTTTCAGATTAATTCTATTTTGATTGAATAATATCAGGCATTCCTATAGAAGAAAAATAATGCATTGGGCTGTCTAGCTGCACCAATTGAATCTTGAATTGTCAATGTTTAAAATTCATATTCAGAACATTTTTAGGTAGTAGATTGTAATAATTTTGGTTTGAAACCTACTAATGTGTGACAACTATATTATTTCCAATCAAAAGGCTACACATGATCATGTGTGCTATCCATCGTTTTAAGGTGATGCTTACAATTTAAAGTAACAAATTATTGCCAAAGTCATCATTGTAAAACATTGGATGTCAGCTAGATTTGTATATCTTGTAGGATTTTATTCAGCCTTGGTAGTTATATTTAGTCTATTGTTATATAGACTGAATACAATTTTTAAATCTTTAAAACGTAGTGAACAATAACCACACATGTTTTCCAGTAACTGAGCTTCTCAGACAGTTGTAAATATGATTGGTTAGGTGTTCACTCTTAGTGGTATTCATTCCTTAATCGTTGAGTTTCTAATATTAAAGACTGTGTTAAGTGTGGTAATTTACTGCTGTATTTTAGTTTGGAATAAAAGGTTTAGTGATGGACACACTCACCTCGTTCCCAAATTATCTAACTGGTCTCCAAGTCAGCTACAATCTAATTTATATAAACTAGCTTTTCACTAAGATCTACACCATTGACATACAAATGGTACGAAAAGTGCAAGTGGAATAAAACGATCAAAATGGTTGCTATTTATAATAATAATCCAGATATTTGGTATAACACCTTATCACGCTACGAGATGTTTCAAAGTGCTTCATAAAAAATACTCCATAGTGAATTGACTGGATATTTTGTGGACTTTATTTTATATTAAATAAATATGAATTATCTAAAAATGCTTCATTTACATCATGTATTCAGGTTACTTCAAGAACAAGAAAATGATTTTTTTAAAAATACTGAATCTCACCTGTTATTAAATTTGCATGAATTTATAGTCTGCATTTGATGCATTTCCTCACTTTGTGTTTCAAGGAGCTTCAGAAGATTTACTGTTAAGTGTTTTACACTTTAAAAACTGTTTTAGTGGGCAACCACATTAGCCAATTTGCACACAGCAATGTTCTACAGACAGCCATGGAGTGAATTACCAATTTGGGGAAACTTTCGAAGGACACTTTTTCGAATACTGCTATGGGATCATTAACAACTACCTGAACAGACAGATGGGATGTCAATTTAATGTCTCACCTAAAACATGGCAACTCTAAAATGCTTTTGTCAAGTCAAAAATAAATTTTATATGTATATATTTTTTTATATATGCCCCTCCCCATAAGTATAGTGATACAGTACTTTTGTGGTCTGGCATATAAATGTCTCTTGAATGTCTGCTACAAATATTTATTTGTGTATCATTGCAAACTGATTTGCTGTTGCTGACTGTGCTTCATATCTCAGAATTAAGCAGAAAAGAGAGAAGTTGGTTTTAAGCTTGAGCCTGTGGATCACTGGTTCCTTGTATTTTTTTATTTTGCTGGAACAATAAATCTTTGGACAAACAAGAATCTGAAAGTAAGCCTTCATTCAACATGTGTATTACCATTTATGTTTCAGTTATACCATTGAGCACAGCTCTTACAGTTTTACATTCCATATTTATGTTTAATATCGTTCATCTTTTATTCCATCTATAAGCTTGTCTAGTGTTTTCATTATACACCATTTGCGTTGCCTTCAAGCAGTGGTCGTATTGGATTTGCAGGTATTTACTTTTAGTAATCTTTAGCATTTTAGAAATTTATGAACCTGTCTAACTACTAAGAATTTGAGTTTATACAGTGAAATGTTTGCTTTGACACGTCTTCAGAATATTAGTTGGTTACACACTAGAACCACAGAAATCTACAACACAGGAGGCCAATCAGCCCATTATGTCTGTACTGACACTTAAAAGAACAATCCTTTCAGCCCCACATTGGTAATTTTGTAAAACAATTTGAGATTGAAAAATATAGGATTGTTTTGCAAGACATTCTTTTGCAACTCCCTTGATTTCTGTATAGTTGGATTATGCTTTATTCTACCTTCCCCCTCTCCCCCTCACCCACCTGCATTACAGTAATTTACCTTTTTACATATTACCTTTTTCTGTAAATAAATTCTGGTGTTTGTTTTTGTCTTGCCTTTCCCAGCACCTGTCTGAAGTGTTTCACCATTTATGCAGGTCAGATGGATTGTTTCTCAGTATATTTGAATAAACAGTAACACTTAGATCGTAAACATACCACCAGTGTTAAATTGGAACTTGATGAGCATGAATTGGATAGATTTTAGCTAGAAGCCTGACTAATGCTACATTTATGCTGCCACTGAATTGTCTTGGTTATAAATTGAGGTCTGAATCATGCAGAGGTCCCACATCACTTAGATTTGTTGACGCATTACTGTTGCTTACATCACTATAAATAACAACAAATTACATTTGTGTAGTGCCTTTCACATTGGGAGGAAGTCCTCCCTGGCACTGGACAGTTGGGGTTTTGGACGTGGTTGATTTGAGTTGCACTGGACTTAGACCTGTGATCCAGCTGAAGCTCGTGTCATCCGGTGAGATCTTTCAAAAAAAACCTTTTCAAATTTAAATTCAGTCAAGCAATAGGCTCTTAATTTAAAAACAGTATTTGTGTATGAAATTGCTTCACTCCAGGAAGTTTTTTAAAAAAAGCTTTTGGCCTTTTAATTAATTAATTAATTAATGACAAATCTAACTATAACATCACAGATCAAATGTTCACCTCATATTATGCTATTACACTAGTTATAGCGAATTACTAATTATAATGCTTTTCTTTTGGTAGTTGACTGGAATCACATCTTCCATTGGGTTCTCTGGTCTATGAACAATCTGATATTGAAATCCCCCATGATTACTACATTTTGATAGTGTTTGGGGTCTTTTATCTACTTAAACAGCTATCCTCCTTTACCAGTTATTTTTTAAGCCTGTTTAATACTGCCATTGAATTATCTTGGTTAGAAGGTGAATTGTATGGAAGCCTTACTCCAGACACCATCAGTATCTCAAGTCCATGCTGTTGAATGGATTTCAATCCCCTGGGGGGGGGGAGACATAAGTGAGGTTACTCTGGAGCTAAAGTGACTCCATGGTGACCTACATGCCAATGGAATGTCAGAATAGTCAGCCACTCTGAGGGCTGACACCAGCCAACCTCATTCATTGATAAGTATTGGAGGGTTAAAACAGTCACGGGCGAGGGATTCTTCCTACTTAGCTCTTGGTACCTCTACAAGCCAAAGCTCCAGCAGGTAGGGTGGCACTAGCTGGACAAGCAGCCGCAAATTTAAAATAGTAAATGTGCAATGCATAAGTTTTGGTTAGTAAAACCCATGTGGGCTAAGAACAGCATATATTCCTAATTCACTTTTTTTTGATTGGCAAATCCTAAAATATTTAAACCAATTTAATTTAATACATGGGAAACTCATGGAATATTTAACGTCTACCTCGGCAGGCAGACTGGATCTCGGTTTAACATCTCATCTGAAGGATGGCACTTCCAACAATACATTACACCTCCAGTTCTGTATTGGAGTTTCAACATAGACATTGGGTGGAGTTTGAACCCACAAAGAGTGCTAGCAATTGAGCTAGGCTGATACATGAAATTTCCTACAGCTCATGAGTTCCAAAGTTATTCATCAGTTTTGTTGCATAAAAGGTCTGCAAAATGTTCTCTGTAACACTAAACATTAATCATTCTGTTACACAATCAAATGAGCCTTCATAACATTTGGTAATAAACAGCAACATATATCCTTAAAAACATTTTAATGAGATAAAAGTATTTACATACACAATTTGGCATACACAAAAGTAGAAAATATGTAGCGTTTGGCATTGTCAAATAGTGTTTTAGCATTTTTGAAACACAGCAAGATTGGATAAGGTTTACAACAATAAAGATTATAAAATGTTATAAATGTAGCAGACAAAATAAGATGATAAATATATGTGATATTGTTTAATATTTTTTGGGTAGTCATTGCAGGCAGTTAGGTATTCTTGGGGACATACTCTTCCTCCTCTTCTTCATCCTCTTCCTCCTCCTCAATTCCGTCATCGTCTTCCTCTTCTTCATCATCCAATTGTAACTTACACGTGGAACCAGGAGTGTTTTCCTGTAACAAAATAGAACCAATAATTACATTTTTACAATTTTCTCCCTTCCAGTCAGAGAAATTAAACTCCTACAATGAGAAATTAAGCATATTAGCACTTAAGTATTGTTGATTTACCTGAATATTTTAATATGTGATCCAACTTAGTTGGATAACCAAAACAAATGTTTGTTTTGTTCTTCTTTCAATATTGTAACCATTTTAATAAACATTCAATACACTTAGATAGTGTGGAGTCCTGTAGCTTAGTGGTTAGAACACTCGCTTCGCAATAAAGAGAACATGGGTTTGATTCCTGGGCAGAGATGAGTATTATAAATACATGTGATAAGAAGTCCAAGGAGTAATGGAAAGATGAGACAACGGAAACAGAGAGCGAGAGGCAGAGGTGAATCTGCTTGATCAATTCAGTGGACATTCAATTCATAATTAGGTTGATTCAACCAAAATTTGTGTTTGTATGCAATTAACAGACATTACTGCAGACTTTCAGGGCTTTACCAAGCATGCCTATTCAGAGCTTGTTCAATAAAGAGTGACATTCTCTTTCCAACTCACACATATTTCAGCTTGGCTCAACCGATAGCACTCGTCTCCGAGTCTGAAGTTGTGGGTTCAAGCTCCACTTTGGGACTTTGAAAGCTTGGCATTCCAGTGCAGCATTTGCCCAGCACTGTCAGAGATGCCATCCTTCAGATGAGACATTAAACCAAGGACCTGTCTCCCTGTTCAGGTGGATGTTAAGATCCTATAGCCCTGTTTGAAAAGAGAAGGGAATTTTTCCCATTGTGCTGGCTAACAAAGTCCCCAAAATTCACTTCATGGCTGTTCGTAGGATATTACTGTATGCAAATTGCTGCTGCCACATTCATCTACAAACTACATTACTGTATACACCTTTGTCTACAAAATATTTTACAATACCCTTAACAGTACTTGTAAAGTGCTTTGAGACATCCTCCTACTGTGAAACAGCCACAAAGTGAATGACCAGTTTTATCTGGGGGATCAATGGTCAGGACACCAGGAAGAAAATCCCTTTTTGAATAAAGCCATGGGATCTTTAACATACATCTAGATAGCCAGGTGGGATACAGACAATTTGTGTACACTAATATATATATACACACACACACTAACACTGATAAAAATCTAAATGATCGAAATTAAGGAAGTTACGTTACCTTGGAAGATCGTAACATAGATATACTTGAATTATTCCCATTTGTAGATTTTAAGAAATTTGCAGAAACTAGGCTCAAGCGAGGCTGGGTGGTTTCAAAATGAAGTGAGCTCCTGTAAGCCTGCAAAAACAATAGCAATATCTAAACTACAATGGTTCACCACATGTAATATTGTAACCTAAAGACACAACAATAAATGATGAACTAACATATATTAAAACTTTTCCTTACCAACTATCATTTTCATCATTCCCCTGCTCTAACTTTCAAAATGCCACTTGGAACTTACATTTTTTTTACTCAAAAATATTTTGTGTGTTTCTCTAATATACTTTGAAGGAGACTTTAAGGGGGAGAGTTAAGAGAGAATTCAAAGACATAACATGTCTATTGATGAATTTCATATGTACACAACTTAAAAGTTAAAGGTATTAAGATAGTATCTATCTTGGTATTTTGCACAAGGTTTAAATTGATGACAATTTAAATAAAGTTTCCCTCAGAAACACTTGAAAATAATTTAATGGGTCTTCTACATGAGATTTTAATTTCTGCAGACCTGATAGTAACCTCAGGAGAGCTACCACACCAGTCTCCTAAACTGCATCCAATATATCGATACCGAAGTCACAAGTCCAATAATACAAAAATCTTTCATTTACTAATAACATTTGGCCCTTTGTTTATAATATATCTTACCTCCATATCCTCATCTTCATCAATATTCTGTACGTGTTGATATGCAGTAGTATAAACTTCTAAAGCTTTTGCATGAAATGCCATTTCAATTGTAATGAAGTCTCCAAAAATTTTCTGTTTTTCAAAAATGAAACCAGAAAAAAAATTTATTGAAATCCAAACCAGTAAATTAGTTTAAAAAAATCACCAAATGTGAAAATTGCTACACTACAGTTGCTAGTCCCAGGTCAAGTGTCAAGGAGTGTCAAGTGCTTTGAGACATCCTCCTGACATGAAAGGTGCTGTATAAATATAAATTATATTGTATAATTCTTTTATATTCTAGAAAAGTACCAATTAATTCAAGTCTCATGTCATGTCCAATAAATTGTGAAGTTATTTTCTGCAACTGCAGAGGATTCAAATTATTGTGTTTTTTTTAAAATCGGTCACAATCAAGCTGAAAACAAGACTTAAATAAATGACACGTAGTCGTGATTTTCAGAGATAAAAGATACGCTAATTATGTAATTTTATGCAATGTTTCTGACCAAATGACAGAAAACATAAGGATATTTTACATAAGTGGAGTTGAGATCCACGTGCAAGAGAATCAACCAATCAGCAACTACCAAAAAGTTAAACTACACTGTTTTGGCTCACTCATGAATTAGCACAAAGTGGGTGTAATAACAGCAAGTTGCTTTGCTATGAATATTCTTAATACAAACCAAGATAATGTTATGCTCCTGAATCCTGCACTAACCCAAATAAACAATCTTTTTCAATCCTCATTTCAATAATCAGTAAAGAAAAAGGTTAAGGGTGTCCAAGGGACCAGTAAATACATTTGAATAATTTTTAAGCATCAAAACGTTTACTGAAATTGGCTGCAAGGAAGATCATGCAATTGTTCAAGGGACATTTTGTTAACTGTGCCAATCCCTGAGATGGTGTCCTATATTCTTAGTGTATCTGGAAATGGAATAAACAAATTTGAGTTTAATCAACTTACCTTAATGTCCTTAATTTTATGTTTTTCAAAATCATCCATTGTTTCTTCTAACTGACGAGCAATTCGAGTGGCATCCACTGTGACCCTTTGCAAATCGGACTCTGCCTGTCATACAACAGATGCATTCATAATCATATTTTAGTAAATTCAGAATAATACATGAACATATTCAAATTTTAATCAATGTTTGTTAAATTGAACTTGCGTGTCTTATGTATTCATGGGGAATAGGGTTATTGTGAAAAGAGCAGGTAAATGGGTCTGAAAGAATTGCTCTTAAAAGAACCAGCACAGATACGATTGTCAGAATGACATTCTGTGCTGCAAATCTACTGCAGTGATAAGAGTGGTGGAGTAACAATGCTCAAGTCTGGAATACTGTTTACATTCAGTATAAATCAGACGAAGGGTTTCTTTTCACTGCTACTATTCTTTATTCCGAGTCCAATGGCCGTACTGGCATGCAGGTATTATATTTCACAATTTTATGCTGCAGAGTAATGGACGATGACTAATTGCAGAGGGACACATCAGACAGAGGGAACTTTCATTCCTGCAGTCAAGTTTTGGATCCAGAAATGAAACAACAACAAAATTCCATTTATAGAGTGCCTTTCACGTCGGGAGGATGTCCCAAGGCGCTGTACAGTTGGGTCAGGACCCGAGCAGGGGGGAAATGGTCAGGGTGAGGGGAGGGAGGGAGCGAGGAGGGGGTAGAGAGTCGAGAGGAGCTGAAGGCACGGTCAAAGAGAAAGGTCTTGAGACCGGCCTTGAAGGAGGAAAGGGAGGAAGCAGCGAAGGCACTGGGGGATGAAGCCAGAGAACAGTATTTTGATTGACTGCTGCTCAGTTCCTTTTTTCAAAAATGTATTTTTCAAGTAAGTAATGCACAATATTTGATAACCTTAATGATATCACAACTTCAAGAGACCATAACTACTCAACACAACTAAATTCTCCAGGAAAAGTACAATGTAGATAGATGCTCTGGATCATATTCAGTCACAAACCTGTGTCTGTGTTGGATTATCAAGGGAAAAAGGTCTCAAAATTCTTAATATTAGAACAAGTAGACATCAACAATTAAAGGTTACTCCAGATTTGTGACTTTTTATTCATGTAGTGTTGCCTTCCATTCACTTTATTTTGATAATGTGTGGAAGAAGAAAAACTTCTATTCATAATTAATGCTTTATAGACCATTTGAATTAACAACCTTCTGACATAAAAGTTGAAAAGGCTAACAAGGCCAAGTTGTCATCTTAAAACTTCTTGCTACATTGACTATTGGTAAATACTGAAATACCAATCGTTTTGGTTGGTTAATACAATAATCATAGAAATGATATACTTTAATCCATACTTTAATCCATTCTACTACCTCTCCCACAATTCCACAAGTTTGATTTTAATCATGAGCCTCTCGTGGCACTTTATCAAAGGCCTTTAAATCCAAATACACAATAATAATCCACTGTTTCTCTTGTGTACTTTATCGGTTACATCTTCAAAGAATTCAATCATGTTGGTCAAGCATGACCTTCCTTTTGTAAATCCAATCTGGCTGCTTGTAATCTCCAGATGTTTAGTTACTTCATCTTTTATCATGGATTCCAATATCTTGCCCACAACCGATGTTAAGATGGTTGGCCTAGTTTCCTGGATGAGCTCTATCGCCCCTTTTAAAAGTCATTCAGTGTGCAGGATTCAGCCTGGGAGAGTTTGTAATGCACTATATAAATGGACTATACGTAATGTTAAGGATACAATAATCTGCCGATCAGAAGGGTTCCTCTGCCGTATTCTTTCCACTTGAGCAGTTTGCTTTGCTTCACGTTTTCCAGCAGCTAAAGAAACCTTGAGTTCTTCCTGTGAGGGATATGTTTAGGAAGTTTATTACGCAGATGCTTGGAAAAAGCCAATGCGCACACACGCAAAAAAAACATAACATACAATCAGCAAACTAATTTAGACCTAATTTCCTCCAAAATTGAGTTCACACCAGATTCATACCTGAAAATTTAAGTTGCATGGCTAAACATCAAAATCTATACCTAAAGGGACAGAAGACAGCAGGAAGTAGAGAGTTTTGTCATCCTCACAGAGAGGATGACAAAATTAAGTTTTGTTCTTACACAAGTTTATCAAAGGCTGATTGTAAAGATCCCAACATGCAGCTTTCTACCGCCCCTGGAAGAAGTTACCCCCACAATCCCTAACCGCTGCCTTGGAGTCCTCTGAACTCCTCTCCCTCTGGCCTTCATCCCTCACTGACCCCTCTTCTGCTCTCACCCTCCTCCACAACACCCTCTCCTCCACACTCAACACTCTTGCCCCCATCACCTCCCGTACTGTCTCTTACTCTCGCTCCTCCAACTGGTTCACCACCTACCTGTCCACAAATACATAGTCAATTCATTTTACAGTATAGTCTGTGAAGCGCTTTGGGACGTCCTCCCGACGTGAAAAGCGCTATATCAAATGCAAGGATTATTATTATTACCTCCGCTCACTGAGGAGCCAGGTGCGGGCCGCTGAACGCACCTGCCTCAAATCTGACCTAACGGTCCACCGGCAAATCTGGCTGGACCTCCTCAAAATCTACTGCTCCACTCTAGCCTCGGCCAAGTCGTTCTTCTACTCCAGGATAATCCTGGAGACGAAGAACAACCCCAGGCTTCTGTTTTCTACCACAACCCGACTCCTCCATCCCCCCCGCCACCCCGCGCAGGTCATCTCCTCCAACCATCACTGTGAGGAGATGCTGGATTTCCTTGAATCCAAAATCAAGGGAATCCGCTCCGCGGTCACTGCCCCTCCACCTTCCACCCACCCCTTCCATCCCACACTCCGACTCCTACCCATCCTCCCCTACACACCTTCGAACCTGTTTCCCCACCCTCTGTCACCAAACTCATCCTCTCCCTGAAACCCACCACCTGCTCCCTTGACCCCACCCCCACTCCACTCCTTATTTCTCAGCTCCACCTCCTTGCCCCACTTCTCACAGACATCATCAACCTGTCCCTCTCCTCTGGCTCTGTTCCCATTCCCCTCAAAACTGCCACCATCACTCCCACATTGAAAAAACCCTCCCTTGATGCGTCGCAGCTATCAAGCTACCGGCCCATCTCCAACCTCCCCTTCCTGTCCAAGGCCCTTGAAAGAGTTGTCGCCTCCCAGCTGCGCTCTTTCCTCTCCACCCGTTCATTATGTGAACCCCTTCAGTCGGGTTTCCGTGCTGCCCATAGCACAGAAACTGCCCTGGTCGAGGTCACCAATGACATGTTGACCATCTGTGACCAGGGCTCCCTCTGCCTCCTCGTCCTCCTCGACCTATCGGCCGCATTCAATACGGTCGACCACTCTATCCTCCTCCACCGCTTGTCCTCCCACCTCAACCTTCAAGGCCTTGTAATTGAGTGGTTTAGGTCGTACCTCTCCCACCGTCTTCAGTTTGTTTCCACAAACGGCTTTTCCTCCAGCCCTCGCACTGTCTTGTGCGGTGTCCCTCAGGGCTCTGTCCTCGGTCCCCTCCTCTTCACCCTCTATATGCTCCCCCTTGGTGACATCATCCGCAGACATGGGGTTAACTTCCACATGTATGCGGATGACACCCAACTCTACCTTTCCTCCTCTACCCTCAACTCCACGACCACCGATGTCCTGACAGCTGCCTGTCTGACATCGAGTCCTGGACGAGAGACAACTTTCTTCAGCTCAATGTGCGCAAAACTGAGGCCCTCCTGATTGGCTCACGTCAGCGCCTCCGCACCTCAGGCGCTGACAGCATCAGCATCCAAGGCTGCACTCTCCACCTCTCAAAGCCGGTCAGGAACCTCGGGGTTCTGTTCGACCCTGAGCTGTCCTTTCTCCCCCACATCCGCACCACAACTGGCACCGCCTTCCATCACCTCCGAAACATCGCCAGACTACGGCACTACCTCACCCCTCACGCTGCTGAAACTCTGGTCCACGCCTTTATCACCTCAAGGCTGGACTATGGGAACTCTCTCCTCGCCGGCCTTCCCGGCACCTCCCTCCACAAGCTGCAGGTCATTCAGAACTCTGCAGCTCGTGTACTGTCCCGCACCAGGCTTCGGGACCACATCACTCCCACCCTCGCTCACCTCCACTGGCTCCCCATCCCCCAGAGGATCGAATTCAAGATCCTCATCCTCACCTGTAAGGCATTCACGGCCTCGCTCCCTCCTACCTCTCCGACCTACTATCCCCCTACTTACCTGCCCGTACCCTCCGTTCCTCCGGCTCCGGTCTGCTCCACATCCCCCGCCCCAACCGCCCTACCATCGGTGGCCGGGCCTTCAGCCTCTCAGCCCCTCGGCTCTGGAACTCCATCCCCCAGTGCCTTCGCCGCTTCCTCCCTTTCCTCCTTCAAGGCCGGTCTCAAGACCTTTCTCTTCAACCGTGCCTTCAGCTCCCCTCTCGACTCTACCCCCTCCTCGCTCCCTCCCTTCCCTCCCTGACCATTTCCCCCCTGCTCGGGTCCCGACCCAACTGTCCAGTGCCTTAGGACGTCCTCCCAACGTGAAAGGCGCTCTATAAATGAAATCTTGTTGTTGTCTTGTTGTTTCTGTACCTCACCAGGATAATGAAGAAACACCCAGCATCTGAATGCATTTTCTAGGTTGTATTAAATCGTTTGGTCTGATTGACAAGCGTTCATAGACAGTAGCATTATCAAATATCCTTCTGTATCCTTACATTATTCTAATCTCAACTTGTTTCATTATATACTGTATTTACAATGGGAAATCATATTGTAAAGACTTAGCAAAATGTGTTATGCTATCAGTGCAAGATACAGTTCACTATGTGTAATGTGTATCAACAACAACAACAAGATTACATTTGTATAACGCCTTCCACGTCGGGAGGACGTCCCAAGGCGCTGGACAGAGTACAGCATTTCAGACCTGAGCAGGGTTGGGGGGAGGGGAGGGGAAGGGGGGTGGCCAATAGCATGGTCAAAGAGGAGGGTCTTGAGATGGGACTTGAAGGAGGCTAAGGAGGGGGCGAGGCGGAGTGATTGGGGGATGGAATTCCAGAGGTTGGGGCAGAGTGGCTGAAGGCTCTCCCACCAATGGTAGGGCGGGTGGGTCGGGGGACGTGGAGCAGGCCAGAGCCGGCTGAGCGGAGGGAGTGGGCGGGTTGGTAGGGGGTTAGGAAGTCGCAGAGGTAGGGTGGGGTGAGGCCATGGAGGGCTTTATAATAATAATAATAATCCTTGCATTTGATAAAGCGCTTTTCACGTCAGGAGGACGTCCCAAAGCGCTTCACAGAACACACTGTAAAGTGAATTGACTGTATATTTGTGGGCGAACGCGGCAGCCAATTGCGCACAGCAATGTCCCACAAACAGTCGTGGATTGAAAATGACCAATTTAATATTGTTTTTGGTTTTGGAGGGATTATTATTAGGTGTGTGGAGTAAGGAAACTTGCCCAAGGTTTCGCCCTGACCTGCCTGGAATTGAACTCAGGTCTCTCACTTGCAAAGCGAGTGCTCTAACCACTGAGCTACAGGACTCCACAGACTCAACAGGCTTTGTATGTGAGGACCAGGATCTTGAACTGGATCCTCTGAAGGATAGGGAGCCAATGGAGTCGGGCGAGAGTGGGGGAGATGGGGTCATGGAGTTTGGTGCAGGAGAGGACATGGGCTGCAGAGTTCTGGATTATCTGCAGCCTGTGGAGGGAGGAGTTGGGAAGGCCGACAAGCAGGGTGTTTGCATAGTCGAGCCTGGAGGTGATGAAGGCGTGAACAAGAGTTCAATCTCAAAGTCAACCTCTGATATTTAAGTAAACATTACCTCTGAATCATTAATCTTTTGTTCCAGTCAAATGTGTTTAACATTTTAGTATTAACCCATACTATTTCCCACCTGTGCCTACAATATACCATCACTACAATATATCCTGTGAAGCACTTTGAGGTGCTCTCCCAGTGTGCAAGGCACAATATCAAGTGTAAAGATTATTATTTATCCCAAGATATTAAGAAAACCAACACTGTTTTAAAACTGCCCTCATAGCAAAAATTATCCAACTGGGATCTATACACCTTTTTCTGCCCCTGGCTAGTACTGTAATGTATCCTATAATTTCAACATCAAGCAAGTCATCTTGAAGCCAACTCAGTCTCAAGAAGAACCCTATTACCTTCCCCCAAGGAGGATAGTCACGATAGTCAAAAATTATGCATTAAAATTGAAAATAGGAACCTTTAATTACTAATTTGTGAAGTTTCTTTGAGGGGAAAGCTCTAGTTTTTGTGACGCTCATTAGGGTTAGTGGTAAGCTTCTTCGTTCAAACTATCCATTTTTAAAAAAAATTAACAATGTTAAGAAGTGGAGGGCATTTGGGCATGCTGTAATGTTACGGCTCCATCTAGTAGTAGAAACAAGTAATACAATAAAACAGAGAATTGACCAAGAGCATTTTCAACTTGTGTAGTTGTAACTCTAACGCTCAGTTTTCAAAAATCTATTTTGCAGCCTTCACTTACATTCGTATAGCACCTTTCACGTCGGGAGGACGTCCCATGGAGCTGGACAATCAGGGATTTGGGTTATTGATGCAAAAACATTGGTATTTGATTTATTGGTACAGGTTTGCACCATTATATCATTATAATGGAGTCCTGTAGCTCAGTGGTTACAACACTCGCCTCGCAAGCGGGAGACTTGGGTTCTATTCCCGGCAGGGTGAAATGTTGGGCAAGTTTCCTTACTCCACATGCCTGCTTACTTAGCAGTAGGTAGGAACATGGTTGATAGTTGATTGGCGGATCGCTTTTACAGGGAAAATAATCCCTAAAAAAACCAATAATAATTTGGTCACTCATC